GAGGCGTCTCCTCCCAGCACCACACATGCATGACCCGTGAATGCCCCACCGCCCTCCTGACAGCTTTCCCAGGTTACCTGTGTTGTAAAACAGTTCCCCTTCGCTGGAGGGGTCTCGGGTTGGTTTTGGATTTGACATGTCCTCCACACCACATTCTTCAGCCTCGTGCTCAGACCCGGCACACGGAAGCTGCTGCCTTCACAGGACGTGGGATTGGACAGTGTTCAATTTGAGGCACTGCCATTACTAAAGCACTTGTTTTGGGTGTGTTCTAGGACCAACATGGCTGCCCTGTGTTCTGTGCAGTCGATACACCCCTCATGTGGGTTCATAAAATAAATCTAGGTCCGTACATTCAATGCATGCAAAGAGCTATTTTACTTTATAGGTTCTATAATTAGAAAATCTCCCAGTTTAAGAAGTACAGTGCTTTTGAAGTGGGTCTTGTTTAAGTGAGGTAATCTTAGGAAGAACGAGGCAAAATTACCGCTCAGTGTACACGCTCAGTAGTCACGGCTTAGCTGTGCCATGTTTCTCCCAGTAGGAGACTGCAGGACTTATAAGGGCTGCGTTTCTCACAGATACCCACACATGTATATCATGGGGTTCCACTTGAAGAGCTACAGGTAATCAGTGGACGCTGAGGGAGAATCTATTTTCTCCAGGGACGAGCTCCCTGATCAGTTATCTAATTCTAAATGGGCAGCCCTAAACACGGGTGCACACAAATGCCACTAAATACGCTCAGTGCATTATACATATGTGTGTGCATATTTATAAATGTATATAATATATGTAACGAAGAAGAGCACAGGAAGTTGGGGGCACAGGGAGAGTTGGAGGACTGAAAGGGATGGAAATAGTAAAGACAATAGTCATATGAAATTCTTTAAAATAAAAAGTTTCACAAAATTTGTACATAATTTAGATAAATCTCAGACATTAAAACAAAATTTTTAAAAATCTGTAGGGCTGGAAAGATAGCTCAGCAGTTAAGAGCACTGGCTGCCCTTGTAGAGGACTTGGTTCCCAGCACCCACATGGCAGCTAACAACCATCCCTAACTCCAGTTCCAAGGGATCCGACACCCTCTTCTGACCTCCTGGGCATTGCACAGCACAAGTACACTTACAAACATGCAGACAACACACTCATACACATAAAATTTTAAAAATAAGTTAAATATTTTTTAAATGTGTAGCCAAGAAAGTCTGCCCATCAGAGACCTTCCTGTTTTCTCACTGACAGGAAGGTCTGCTCATCTGAGATGGCCCTGTTCTTTCTTGACCTTTTCTTTCAGGCAGGACGAGGGGGTGCCTATCAGAGCTGGGGTGATGGGTGGTGGTCCGCTGGAATGGTGGTACCTGGGAGGCCATTTCAGCCTGGACTTTGTGATCCTGTGTGATCTGCTGCTGGGCAGCAACTGCTGGCTGGAGACCCTCTTGTCTTCTACCATCCTGGACTGTGGGGCTCAGCTGGCTGGGGTGCACATGCTTGTCACGTGGTTGTGGGCAGGTGGTGGCTGAGCCTGAACTCTTGAGACAGCTCAACTGGGAAGGACCAACCAGAGGTTGGCAGTTGAGGCTGATGTCCTCTGAGAGGTGGGATGGGGTCCAGGACTCTTTCACACGACTTCTTGTGTGCCTGGGCTTCTATCATGTTGATCAGATTCCAAGATGGAGAACCCCAAGACTGAATGTTCCAAGAGACCAGGCCATTGGCTTCTTGTGACTTTGCCACAAAATCCCAGAATGCCATTTCTGCCTTATTTTATTGATCAAAAATCCAGACCTGGTTCTAGGGAAGGGCGCTAAGCTTTGCCTTGTCACTAAACCATGTGACCACAATGCCGAAAGGAAGGGTGCCATCAGCTTTTCTACCATTTACTGTTTCAGAAGAGGGGTGTTATCTAGAGGAGCAAGAATATTAAAATATGAAGGGCATGGGGGTGCAGGAAGGTCACAGAACATTGAGTATGTACAAGTGAGTTCACCAACTTTGCTGACTGGAGACCAGATCTGTGGAGCACCGTGGGGTGAGCCTGTTTCCATGGCAGCTAGGCAGCACCCCAGAGGAAAGTTCCTGTCCACTGACCACACCTGTAACTTAGCCACCCATATCACACATGATTGCAAAAAGAGCTTGGTAAAGGGATCTAAGCAGCATAGTTTCAAAGACATGTTTACCTAGAAGCAACCCCATGCATGACCTATTCACACCTAGTCTGTAGAACTTTTTTCATGGGGCTGGAGAGATGGCTCAGTGATTAAGGGTGCTTGCTGCTCATGAAGAGGACCTGAGTTTGGTTCCCAGCAACCACACTGGGTATCTCACATTTGTCTGCAGCTCTGGATCCCACAGTCTCACCTAGCCTCCACTTAGCACCAGCACCAGCACACAAACACAGAAAATAAAGTCGTTTGAAATGTACAAGTTGAAATGGGGAGAAAGAGGCCCCTAGAGGGTTCTTAGTCTCATTCATAACAGAATTTAAGAATGGACCCAAACAGAAGCTTTTACAATTTTATTAGAATCTTAAAAGAAAAATTCTCAGGGCAGGTGAGCTGGTCATCTTGGCAGCCACCTTGAGGTGAGCGGTGGGAAGAAGGAAAGAAAGCCATGGAGCCATGCAGGTGTAGAGCCTGCGTGGGAGTCAGATAGATATGTGGCTACATGGCCAGGAGAAGGAAGCTTTAGAGAAAAAGTGAAGACATACAAGATGCTGGGGGCGGCCCAGAGCCTTAAAGAAAGCATGTTTAGTAAGAAAGGCACTGAGACCTACATGACTGGCTGATCCAGCAGTTCTGCAGAGGTCTGAGCTACTTTCAGGCAGGAAAGATTCCCTAGCTCATTACGCACTAGGTGTTCTGCCCACCTATTTAGCATAACTTAAGGTGAACCTGCCTTCCTAGGAGTGGTTTTATCACCAGGTAATTGACCAGTGAGACTGGAAAAGTGGTCCTCTAACAGATAGACTAGGGATTTTATGGTCTGGGCCAGTTCAATTTATGGGGCTTTTTGCTACTCTTAACAATATTAGAACCACAGACACATAGGACTGTGAAGTGTTCCCCGCCGCCCCCCAAGGTGGGGAGGTTGGCTTACATTCTGGAGATGCTTAGAGAAGACTGTGGAATATCTTAAGTACTTAGAGCGGACACTTCTTGGTGTTTGAGAAAGCCTGTTTGCCCATGTGTTTTAAGGCATACCTCCTTCTTTACCGTGACAAGCAAAGCCACTGTCCACAAAGCACCGTGAATAAGGGTTCCGGGACCTGGGGAGCCTGGCTGACCTCTCCTTGAAGTCATCTCTTTGTAGCTCTTCTCCTTCCTGGCTTTATGTGCCTCTCTGGCTCCCTGGAGATTTCAATTTGTGTTTATCTTCCCTGAAAAGGTAGAAGCAAGATAAACATGGTAAGCTCCTCATAACTAGAGACTGTGCCAGGGATAAATTCAGCTTCATGTTAGATGTTGGAGAAAAATGTTCATCTCTGGGAGAAAGTAGAATAACCCTGGGTTTGGAGGAGATGAATAAGCAATAGAAATTTCTTTCTTGTAGTTTTCAAGGCTGGAAGTCCAAGGTCTGTGGTCCAACATGGTCAGGTTCTAATGAGGGCCTTCTTCCGGCTGCCCACTTCTGATTCTTTGTATGGTAGAAAAAACACAAGGTTCCCTGGGGTCTCCTTTATGAAGGCACTAGCTATGAGGTCAGACACACAGTAAGTCAGGAGCCTTCATCACTTAACTGCATCCCAGTCCCCCCTTCCTGATACTGTTACACTGTAATTTAGCATTTCAACTAGGAATTTGGAGACATAAGCATTCATTTCACAGTATTGTGCTGTTGATTCATTAAATTACTTGTGGAATGTTAGAGACAGAAGATCCTGGAGATCAGTTACAGGGGGCCCAAGAGGGCATTTAACAAGGGTAAAGAATACACTTCAGAGGGTGTACGAGAAAGGATGCATGGTCTAAATAAAACCTTAGGGTATCAGACAAGTATGGGAGTGGCTAAAGTGGCCTGACTTCTACATGGATGGTCCCAGCTAGAGGAGGCCTCTCCTAGTCTGCAGCTCCGGAGGAGGTATCCACCTCCCTACCACTGCTCAGACCCTGACACAGACCCACGGCCCACTTCCATCTTCTCTTCCTCTCTTTCAATGTCAGCCTACTTCCTACTGTGCAGCTATGGTGTGTGACACTTCCTGGGAAGACATGGACAAATGTTGACACACCCCAGCTAGAGTATTGATGACATACCCAAGTAAAACGACACCACCAAAGTCCAACTTGGTGAACGAGTGAGTTTACTGGGGTTACCTACAGGAACAGGGCTGACTCAGAGGAGCTATATCACCAAAAGCCCACCCAGCATGAGTGAGGGCTGAAGGCTGGAACCCTGGAGCTCTCAACTTGACATGCAGGCAGCTCCCAGGTCAGAGTCTCCTCGGCAGTTCTTACTACTTACATGATATTCAGAGGGAGGCGCCTGGTGGATCTGAAAAGTTCTAGGGACTTCCTGAGACTTCAGAGTTTATTTCCTGAGTCTTAAGGAGCCTCCCGTTAGAGCTTTGAGTCTTAACAAGCTTCCCTCCAGGATAGAATGTTTCAGTTTGGAGGAAGTTGTTACATAACAGATAAGTACTGAACTCTGAGGAGGAACAACACACTTGAGCTCTCTTGTTGGGAGACAACAAATCAAAAATAAAGCATGAAATTACAAGCTACCAGCTGGGAAAGTTACGTAACAACCCTGGAAAGAGTTGCTTCCTAAATCAGGGTCCCCCCTGAAGTAGGAGACATGACTGATTCTGAGTCTGTGGTTTAAACTTTGACATGCTCTATGTGATATTTTGAAGGTTCTTGAATTGCATATTGAGATCGCATTACAATTCCCTTTGCCTTTCCGGAGCCCAAGCTGTAGACTTTGGGGACAGCACTGTGTGGCAGACCCCACCCCTGACTGACACTGTCCTCGTGGTGGTTTTCTCTCCCCAGGGAAAGGAGACGTGTTTGGAGATGTGTTCTGGAAGGAAGCCACTCTTGCACAGTCCTGTGCTAATGTTAGGGCCTTGACCTACTGTGACCTGCATGTGATCAAGCGGGACGCCCTGCAGAAAGTGCTGGAATTCTACACTGCCTTCTCTCACTCCTTCTCCCGGAACCTGATTCTCACCTACAACCTAAGGAAGAGGGTGAGCTGGCGAGTTTTGGTTCTTTTTCCGTTTATACCTGTGTACTTTGGATAATTACAGGGCTGGGAATGTCCTTCGGCCTTTTATGTAAGTAGAGAAAATGGTTCTAAGGCAGCTCTGTGCATTGCTTGCTCTGAGGGCTTTGGATATGAAGTGGAAGGGAGAGGTGTACTGGACTAGAAGATGGGTCGGGATTGGTGCAGAAGGCCTCTGCCCTTGTGTCCATCTGCGGGCCCCAGTTCCCAGCACTGTCGAGACCTTGCAGTGTGTAAAGATGGGTAAACGTGGTTGCCCATCAGTAGTGTGGCTGCATGGAGCCGCCTAATTAATGCCAACTGGATCTCCCAGTGGCTGGGGCCTTCGGAGTGCTGTGAGGCCGCCAGCCAGCCGGTAATGATAAACTCTGGGGAAGAAATGAAAATATGTTACTTGAGTTCAGCAGAGAAAGCCATGGGATGTGGCTGTCTGGAGACCGTTTTGTATACAACCAGCTCCTTGCGAAAAAGCAGTTTTAAGGACCAGAAAACGTTTCCTCTGAAGCTGTTTCTTTCACACTCGAACCGTCAGGCTGTCTCCGCCTTTCTCTGTTTTCGCCTCGCGGGGGCGTTAGCTTCCCACAGTGGATTTCCCTCCCCCGCATCCCCTTCGGATAGGATAAGATCTTACCACACAGCTCAGGTTGCACCGAAACTCTCAATCCCTGCCTCAGTCTCCCACTTCTTGTACTTCATTGTACTTGGTAGCTCCACATGGAGGCGAATCACCTGGGGAGTCACCTGGAAAGATTGTCTTAAGACTCTTTCCACAATGAACTCGTGCTTGTCCACTAGTGTGCTTTGCCTCTCACGGTCCCTGGCTGGATTTCCCTGTCAGATTTGTCCTGGGCTTCCTTGGGGTCAGTGTTGGTCTTTGGGCCTTTGTCTCTAGTGGAAGAAGGAATTTTGCCATCTTTGTTACTTATCAATGGCCCTGTCTGCTTGTCAGGGATTTAGTTCCTCAGATGAACTAGACTAGATAAAGAAAATCAAAGGTGCCCCCCCCACCCCCCACCTTCAGAGGCCCAAACCTAACAGAAGAGCTATATGGGAACAGACAGGGATCATGACTCCCCCAAAGTATTGTGGGAGAATAAGGGAGGGGACAGCTAAAGAGGGGAGTCAGAGAGGCCATGTCCAGAGGGCGAGCTGAGCATGAGGGACACACTGGCCAGAGGGAAGGAAGAGGTAGGGGTCGCTTAGAGGCACAGCTGGGACAAAATCCAGAGGACGGAAGCTGAGCTTGGCCTGCTAAGCCCTTCCCAAGGTTTGTAAGGCCTGTCTTTCGCTTACACACACAATAGGCTTCTGCCTGTCTCAGTCCCTTGGGTGGTGTTGCATTGAGGATCCTGCCGAGAGCCCCAGGAGCAGCCGAGCACCCCGGTGTTCTCCATGTAAAACAGCACAGAGCACCCGAAATTCATCCAACATTCTATGACAAGGAAAGAGATGGGATCTCAGGGCTGCAGTTCCCCATCTCATGATGCAAGGTTGTGGTGGGACGATGTCTCCAGCTCCTTGGTTTGAAGCCTGCCCGTCTGAACTCCAGCGGGCGGGTTCTGGTGAAGACCCGCTCATTCAGGAAGCCCCTCACTTGTCTGCCGCCTGGGAGCATGTGACTGTTGCTAGTCGTACTTTTAGCCAAATGGATTCTTTTAAAGCCCGTGTTTTGGTTTACCCCGCCTTTCTCTGAAAGCCAGTTGGTTTTAATCAGCTTTGGGCGTTGTTGATCATATGGGTTGGAAAATAAACAATTCAGGTTCTTTGGAGGAGTAATAATCTTGGAGTAATTGTGGATCAAGTAAACCTGTCTCAGAACACAAAAACAAAACGCCAACAGAAACAGTGATGTCCCAGTAATGAGATCGTTTTCCCATAGAGAGAATGATTGACAGCTGTGGTGAAAGCGGTGGACAGACAGACTTCCGCCATGGTCCAGGAAAGTGCTTTCAGGTGCCAGATCCCCAGAGAAGAGAAGATGGACCCCTGGTCTGTGCACCTGAGGGTGTTTGGTCCCCCCCTCCCCCCAGTGCCTGTGCTCAGAAACAACATGGAAGGAACTTGGGCATCTGATGGAGAGTCAAGCTAGTTGACCTTCAGATTTCCTTCCCACCCAAGCAGCTCTGAGTCTGGTACAGAGCCAAATGAATTTTCGTGAGAGCCTTTTGTAAAGAGCCATCCTTTTCTTGGAAGAAAGAGCCTTGTCATTTCGGCGGAGCCATTGTCACCCCCCATTGTGCCCTTCTGAGAATTAATTCACGGCTACATGGGGCACGGACGCTGAGAACATTACATGCATGAATTATTCTTGTAGCTATATTTTTCTGGCAAAGTGAAGTATATTCTTGTGGCTGTTTCTTACTTGGCAAAATCGAGTTATTTGTTAAGAGCTCTGAGGACACTCTGGTTTCAGCATCTGTGAGGAGTCGTTGGGTCTTGTAAAACACCCCCTCCCCCTGCCCAGTGCACAGTGAAAACTGAGCTGGAAGATGCCTCAGTGGCCAGTCCTGTCTTTCTCCCACATCCCCACCACCCTCATGTCACAGACACAACGTTTTATAGAACGTCACGGAACAGGGCTGGAAATGACTCCCAGACTGAAATCTTCTGCTTCTCCAACCTCCTACCTGGTATCCTCTGGCCTCTGTGTTCTAAGCCTCATCCATTTATCCCTGAGCCCAGGTGGATGCGCACTCCCCAGCGCTCAGCACTACTTGGGAATCCAGCTCAGACTGTCAGGTCATTTTCTCCAAAGCCACATGAGGTCAAGGGTGAGGGTGCAGAGGCAGGACCTGGAGGGTCAGGTCAGCATTTGACCTTTAGTTTTTCTTAGCTGTGAGTTCCAAGACAATAAAACTGATGTGGGTTCTGTCTCTACTGCTCACCTTTGTAATTCTGGACAGGAAAGCCTCCTTATCCTTAAGACTGGGGGAATGAGACTGTCTACCTCTAGGATGAAGGGTGATCGGGAAGATGAAGTACAATAGTGTTTCTAAGCTCTTAACAGAGGCTGGGGCCCAGGAAGTGCTCAGCTACACTGTTTTGTCTTCCTGACAAAGACCCAGGTGGGGTCTTTTGACAGTTGGGAGGAGAGGATTCTTTAACAGAGGCTGGGGCCCAGGAAGTGCTCAGCTACACTGTTTTGTCTTCCTGAGTAATACTTTATTCATTACCATCCAGGTGGGGTCTTTTGACAGTTGGGAGGAGAGGATTCTTCTTCCTCTGCTGAGTTCCTGCTTGGTAAAATGTTCTCTGGGGTGTGTGGAGCCCATTGCTGCCTTTCCGTCCAGCTCCTGACAGAGAGGCCAGCACTATCCACTCTTTTGATCAGTTCCATTCCAGGAAAGAGCAGTAGACGTGTTTTGAGAGCTTACATCCATCGCCAGGGAGTGAGGAGGAGAGACGGCATCTTTGTTTCTTCTGAGTGGAGTGGCCTGAGGACATTGATGAAAGGAGAGAGCAGAGCCTTCTGCATCTTAACCCCTCGCCTGGCCAGGGTGCCAGGTTCTGGGAGCAGCTTTCTGCAGACCCCAAGCCATCTTCTGTACTCAGACCTTTGCATGCTGCTAAGAGATCTCAGACTAGGAGACTGGGAGCAACTGCACTGTGTCAGTATGTGGTTCGTGTCCACGGACGACATGCTCAGAGCAGCCTGTGGCATGACAATTTCACTGTACTTTCTCAAGAGAGTAAACCAGGACGCTGAGGAGAGGGGGTCCCTTTTCCAAAGCCTCCCAGATACGATGACATATTCTGAACCTGGCTGTGCACCTGTGGCTAATGATGTCGCACCCTGTGAGCAGCCAGCTTCTGGGAAGCGTGGCACTCGCCTTTCCTGCAGTGACCTACTCTGACTTTCTCATAGGCTGTTGGCCTTGGGGCGGGTCGGGGGTGGCCTAGTTGTCCCCTAAGCATCTCCAATGGTTTTTGCCTCTACCAGTGCCCTCAAAAACAGTGACTGCTGTGCTGCTATTGTGCTGAGGAGGCTCACCTGTGGGGAGCTGACTGGCCTTGCCTTGTTTGTAGAAGGGCACTGCTTTGGGGCTCAGGTCCTATCTGATCGCAGGCTTGGCTGCTGACTAGATGTGTATCCATGGGCAAGCCACTTAACTAAGCCCCTCTTTGTGTGTAAAAAGAAGCTAATATTCAGGGTGTGGTGACTCATGCTTATCATAGCACTTGGAAAGGAGGGCTGAAGGAAGAGGATTGCTCCTAGCCTGGGCTACACAGCAAGTTCCAGACAGGTCTAGGCTTCAGTGTGAGACCTTGTCTCGTACAGAATAAAACAAAACAATCGAAAGCAACAACTAAAAGAAGATAACCCGAGGGCTGGCTGGTTAGTATGATCAAAAACCTCTGCACATTAAGACAGTAAAAAAGGCATAGCAAGCCGGCGTGATAGAATGGCACGGAATCCCAGCATGTGGGAGGTGGGAGCAGGATGGCTGCAAATTCAGAGACAACCTGAGCTATAGGTTGTGTTTGCATCACCCTGGGACAACCTAGCGAGACCCAAAACTAAAACAAAATCCAACACAAGTGACCTAGGCCTGTAGGAAGCAGTCTGTTCACAGTAGCTCATCTTCCAGCCCCCTAACGCTCTGCCTCCACCTCCGGCCTTCAAAGCTTCGATCTCGTACTTGCATTAGGAGCAGAGCTGTTTCTTTGGTTAATTGTTTGTGGGCTCTGTTTCCTTTGCAAGTAGAGGTGAGGTGTGGCCTCTCAGTGCCCAGGGATTGATCATTAGGCCAGTGAAGGAAACACACCCCATGTCAACAATGCTGGCACACGGGCAATTAGGTAACTACCAGCAGCCAGTGCCGAGGATAACTGGCTGGCAGGCAGGTAATTGGATGGGTGCGTCTCATCCTCTGCTGGTAGGGCTTTCTTTGCAAAGCCAATATTATTGTGTATTTGAGTACGGTTTGCAATGTTTGCATATGCTAATTTATTCCAGGAAGGATT